AGGCAGCCATCAACATACAAACACCTAGACAAGACATTACCCCATAAACTTACAAACCCCTAGACAAACCAAAACACATACTTCACCATGTCACACCCTGACCTAACTAAAATAATAATGAAAACAAAGATAACTAAGGCCAGGGTGTGACAAAGAGTCTATCCAAAAGAGGAAGATATGCATGGGCTGCACGTTGCATCACAATATTGTTATGAAGGTTTTCTTGACGACTGGTGCCCGACTGAACATCCTGCTCAATGCATTCTCAATTGGCACTGATTTTAAGATTTTGTCTAAAGTGCAATATACAGTGGGGAGAACAAGTATTTGATACACTGCCGATTTTGCAGGTTTTCCTACTTACAAAGCATGTAGAGGTCTGTAATTTTTATCATAGGTACACTTCAACTGTGAGAGACGGAATCTAAAACAAAAATCCAGAAAATCACATTGTATGATTTTTAAGTAATTAATTTGCATTTTATTGCATGACATAAGTATTTGATACATCAGAAAAGCAGAACTTAATATTTGGTACAGAAACCTTTGTTTGCAATTACAGAGATCATACGTTTCCTGTAGGTCTTGAACAGGTTTGCACACACTGCAGCAGGGATTTTGGCCCACTCCTCCATACAGACCTTCTCCAGATCCTTCAGGTTTCGGGGCTGTCGCTGGGCAATACGGACTTTCAGCTCCCTCCAAAGATTTTCTATTGGGTTCAGGTCTGGAGACTGGCTAGGCCACTCCAGGACCTTGAGATGCTTCTTATGGAGCCACTCCTTAGTTGCCCTGGCTGTGTGTTTTGGGTCGTTGTCATACTGGAAGACCCAGCCACGACCCATCTTCAATGCTCTGACTGAGGGAAGGAGGTTGTTGGCCAAGATCTCGCGATACATGGCCCCATCCATCCTCCCCTCAATACGGTGCAGTCGTCCTGTCCCCTTTGCAGAAAAGCATCCCCAAAGAATGACGTTTCCACCTCCATGCTTCACGGTTGGGATGGTGTTCTTGGGGTTGTACTCATCCTTCTTCTTCCTCCAAACACGGCGAGTGGAGTTTAGACCAAAAAGCTCTATTTTTGTCTCATCAGACCACATGACCTTCTCCCATTCCTCCTCTGGATCATCCAGATGGTCATTGGCAAACTTCAGACGGGCCTGGACATGCGCTGGCTTGAGCAGGGGGACCTTGCGTGCACTGCAGGATTTTAATCCATGACGGCGTAGTGTGTTAAAAATCATACAATGTGATTTTCTGGATTTTTGTTTTAGATTCCGTCTCTCACAGTTGAAGTGTACCTATGATAAAAATTACAGACCTCTACATGCTTTGTAAGTAGGAAAACCTGCAAAATCGGCAGTGTATCAAATACTTGTTCTCCCCACTGTAGTTGTTTGGAAACAAGATTACATTTCAAAAGGAGGCAACTAATTAGTGGGAAACCTTTTGTCATCATTGTGATTTCGTCAGATTAAAGTTAGATGTATTAGAACCAATGTTCCCTTAAAAGTTTTTGGGCAGAGTGCCCTACCATCAAAAACAATGGAGAAAATGCATTCCATAACATTTTAACATGGAAATAGCTGTTCTATCATTCAGCCTACAGTAGCAGCCAATGTGTGGTGTGCAATGTAGGCCTACATTCCATGAGACTTCTAAAAAAACATGCAGGGCTTGACATTAACCTGCTTATCCACTTCTCCTTCAGACAAGGAGGTGACTGAAAATGTTGTAGTGTTTCTTGATGAAAGAAACCACTTTAAACAATAAAATGCATTACAGTGATCCCTCGCCACTTCGCGGTTCACTTATCGCGGATTCGCTATTTCGCGGATTTTCATAATGCATTATTTTTTTTTTTGGTGCATTGTGCTCTGCATTCTGATTCGCTAAAAACTCACTCCCGCTTCTTGTATCAAAACATGCTACGAATTGTGCTATCATTTTGTCGTCTCGTGCAGTTATGTGTACGTACATAAAACAGCTTGGCAAATTTACATTAAGTTGGCCAAATTATCTTGTAATTTCGAACATCTCCTAAACCCATAATGTCGACGAAACGGCCTGGACCGACAAAAGCACCTGCGGATGGGCCCAAACGGCGGAAGATGCTACCTATCTCAGATAAAGTTAAACTTCTGGACATGCTAAGGGAAGGTAAATGACAAAGCCACAAAGCGACGATGAAAGAGAAGAGGGAGAAGAGGACACGAGAGATGAGGAGGAAGGACTAACGCTTGGTCGCTTAGCAACCATGGTGCGAATGGCCACTGAACTTAAGCGAGTAGCTGAGGAATGGGACCCTTTGATGAGCCGTTCATTACAGTTCTCCAACGTAATCGATGGTGGCATGTCGGTGTACAAGGATCTTTTTGCAAAGAAGAAAAAAGAGCGACAACAGCTGCCTATCACTATGTTCTTCTCCCGAACAAACACACCTGCACCGCGGGCTTCAGAAGAAGAGAACACTGCAGAGCGCAGTCAGGATGCAGCGGCCCAGTCTGAAGAGCAGTGAAACGGCCTACACGTGAGTCACTGTATTTGTATACATGTAATAGTTGCTAATTGTAAAAAAAAAAAAGTTTTCTATTTCGCGGATTTCACTTATCGCGGGTCATTTTCGGAACGTAACCCCCGCGATAAACGAGGGATTACTGTATTACATTATTACAGAGAATCAGACAACGTATGTTAACCTCTGCCTATTGGCTACTTAGCTTATTCAAGCCGGTCTCAAAATACAACACAGTCCCTTTAAGACAAACCGAGTCGCTTTTCAAAGATGTCTAGAAATGTACACGTTTTGTGCTCTTGTAGGAAGCAATCACTCCCCCATTGCTGACTACAAATGATCTATAACTGGGCTAATAACTCACTAACTAGCAAAGGATATGAACAAATGTGCACAAGTGGCTACATGCAGCTCTCGCTTTGATATCAAAACAGGCGCACCTACTCACGCTGTAAACACAGTCCATATATGGCAACAGATCCATATAGCCTACTGCAGCTCTGATTGGTTATGCAGCACCGGTCTGTGTAGAGTACAGGCTGAGTCATGCCTGTCAATGCAATAGAATCCTACTCCGATGCCTTCTGCCTAAAACAACATCTCTTGCATAGTTTGTTTTGTTTCGGTATGTTGCATTGAAAGTGGCTAATATTGTGTTGATTCGATCACAATTCCCACAGTAAAGGGAAACGTTGATAGGGTTAACTAAAGCGGAAAACTCTCGAAAGTTGAGTGAAGTTCAATCTCGTGCTTCTCTGCGCGGGCTGATATTTCTTCTGCGCGGCAATCCCGGGGAGCTGCGTGCCCGCAGCTTAGAGGGAACATTGATTAGAACGTTAGCTAGCTACAGTGCACTGGATTTTAGGTAGCTAAAGTTAGCATTGATTGGAATTTTTTGTCAAACTTTAGGCGCGTTCACACTGCACCTTAGCCCAGAGCTAAGAGCCTCCTTAGCCCTGGGCTAAGGTAGATTTTTAGCCCTGGGCTAAGTGAGTGTTCACACTTGCACATTCTAAAGTGGGCTAGCACCAACCTTAGCCCAGGGCTAGCTGGCTCTGCTCCGGAGCAGGGTTAGCACCGACTTTTCGGTGCCAAAATAGCCAGTGGGGGTCAATGCCTAGAATGCTCACTGTCCAATCACAAAAGCAGCACTTTCACTTAATTTTCATAAGCTGGTGATGCATGTAATGGGTTCTGTGCGTTAATTTGATAAGACAATTCATACTATTTCATCCTTCCATCTGAGGACCAAAAAACAATATACTTTCATCAGTGAAAAAACATTGGTTGGTATGTCTAACAAAAATGGTTGCTATGCAGGCTGGCTAAAGTCTTCTCACTTAGCTAACTAAAGCTACAAACTCTACAGCTGGAAAGGCAGCAAACACTGAATTTTCCTTAGTTTTCATATCTTTTCTATTGACATTTAATTGCATAGATCCATGATAAAAATATTGTTGCATGATTTCGCCTGGATCAGAAAAGTTGATGTCTCTTTCATTCACAGCATTCTCTGTACAGGGGTGAGATCGAATTTCAAAAGTGAAACAATGTTTCCGATGTCGTACAGGCAGAGGCAAGGTTTATACAGGCTAGAAGCATGAGGAAATAATGTGTTAATAAATGTATTATTGTTTATAACATTGGTCACGTGTCAGAGATAGAATGTTGGTCGCATATTGTGTTTGTCCGTTAGCCCAGGGTTTTGGAATACAAGTGTGAATCCTTAGCCCAGGGTTAAAGCTTAGCCCAGGGTTAAAGCTTAGCCCAGGGTTACCAAATGCTTGTGTGAACACAGGCTAAGCTAGCCCAGGGCCAGTCTAGCCTGGGGCTAAGAACAATGTCAGTGTGAAAAGGCCTTTTGCCAGCTATGGAAACATTGCCATCTGTCCAAAGTAAATTTGAAGACATCATAATGATGACAAAGTTGTTTCCTACAAATGTTTTGCCTACTCCAGCAATGTCATCGTATTTTGAAGCCACTAGACTGTAATTTTGACGAAATGGTCAGTAGCCCCCGTTAAGAATGACTGGGCACATCTCGCTTTTCGGGAGTTATGGTGCTTTCAAGACAACTGGGAACTCCGGGGGGAAAAAACATGGTCAAATCATGACATCAGTGATATTCTGGTCGGGAAAGTCGGAGCTCTAGAAAGACGTCAAAGTTCCCGACTTGGAATTCCAAGTTGTATGACAGTTCAAAACAACTTTTCCCAGTCGGAGATCGTTAGTCGGAGATCGTTTTTTTTTTACCAGAGTTCCCAGTTGTCTTGAATGTACTGAAGTCGGAAGTCTGAGATTTCCAAGTTCCCAGTTGTTTTGAATGTGACATTAGTATGGCTGAGAGCCTCTTGAGAACGTTTATAAGAATGGCGTGACACGACCGAGTGACGTAGGTGCAACCAATGAAAAAGTTGAACGTAGCTGGCCAAGTGCAATCCCTATTCCCCTGTCTTTTCCCAGACCAAACTACCCCACAGAGGAGATGGAGGAAGAGTCTGTGATGGAGGATGATGCAGAGCTGACTCTCAGTAAAGTGGAAGAGGAGATGACGGTGGGTATCCCCATAGAAGTGTCCCCTGGTGATAGGCCTATTTGTATATATTGTACTCATCACTTTTTAAAATATGTCTATTTCAAAACAAAACGAAATCCCTTAATAAAGGAGGAACCAGACGACTACGAGGAGGAGAACGTCATGGATCTAGAGGCACTTAAATCAAGGACCAATCAAAGTGTGAGTTGCAGTTGCTGTAATGTTATGCTAATAGCTGGATACGAACAATGTACTGTAATGGTGTACATATATACGGTCCCAATAAGAGATCTGTTTGGACATTGTGGATACTTTGTTACTACACATACAGTAGGTGTGCTGCTGTATTGTATTTTTCATGTGTGGTTAATACTAGGCTACATTGATTTAAAATCAGATTTTTCATTTCAATGCAATTCCCTGGCTGTAGATATAGAAAGGATAGTCACCAGTGGACTCAAACAAGTATAAAATACATATTTATCATTTTTTTAGGTCTTGCTCATTCCCTCATAGTGTATATACTCTCATTCCTAACGCTAACCCCTTCCCTCTCTCAGGAGGCCAGCCTATCTTCAAAGCCAGACAATATACTGGAATCAAACATGGACGCTGCCGAGTGGAATCTAGAGGTGGAGCGGGTTCTCCCACAACTGAAGGTCACAATCAGAACAGACCACAAGGTAAAGATTGCTACAGGTGTAAATTCTGGCATTGCTCTCTCAAAATCAATGCAGGGCCGGGCAATAGCCTAATACATGAGCGTTTGTAACAAGACTATGTCCACTACTAGGACTGGAGGATCCACGTGGACCAAATGCATCAGCACAAAGACGGGATCAAATCATCTCTCAAGGAGGCCAAGGTAGACTTTAGGCTTTCACAGTTGGACTCAGTTTTCTCTGTCCAGGTTACATCACTTTCGATACCATCTAGACAGATGTTGTAAGACACACATCTAATTTAGACTAGCAACATGGCCCTCTCACCAGACCTGGGTTCAAATGAGGGTTGGGGTCAATTCGAATTGAAGGCAGTCAATTCAGGAAGTAAACTGAAATTCCAATTCAATCATTTAAAAAAGGGCATCCATTTTCAGTGACTTCTCAATAAACTGAAATTGATAAGCTATTTATTTCAAAAGTTTTTCCATTTTTTAAAATTTAAAATTCAAGTCACTTCCTTAACTGACTGCCTTTAATTTGATTGGCCCCAAACCTGGTTCAAATAGACTATTATTTATTTTCTTTCAACTACTTTGAGAGTTCGATTGTGACTGAAGGGAGTGCCAGGTGTGTGGGGGGTTGCCACTTTTGTGACGAATACGTCGGTTCCATTACACCAGGCAAGCTCAATCAAGCGCAGCTAAAGAAAGAAAACATATTCATAGGTTGCACCACCTTCACTCGGTCGCGTCATGCCATTGTTATGAACGTTCTCAAGCCGCCCTCTATTGGCGCTGCCATAGTGGTGCCCTAAAGTGGTGATAAGCCCAGTCATTCTGGACGGAGGCCAACTACTGTTTAGTCTAAATTAAACGATAGTGCCTGGAAATACGATGACCTTGCTAAAGTAGTAAAATATTTAGTAGGAAACAACCTTGCCAGCATTATCATATCGTCAAATTTACTTTAGACAGATGGCAATGTTGTTATTCGCTAGCAAAGTTAGTCAAAAATAGCTAGCAATGCTAATGTTAGCTAGCTAAAATCCGGTGGCCTCCTCTCAATCTTAGCTAGCGTTATACTGCATCTAAAGTCAATCTGGTGACATCAAAATGATGACAAAAGGTTTCCCCACTAATTATTTGCCTCCTTTTGAATGTCATTGTATTTCCAAGCCACTGTAATGCACTTTTGATGATCTTTATCAGCGCTCATTGACGATGCATTGAGTAGAATGCTTAGTCGGGCATCAGTCCAAAACGAATGTTCAAAACAATATTGTGACGAAACATGCAACCCATGAATAGGCTACTTTATCTGAGTCTGACTAGACTAGCACCTATCACACAGCCAACCTCTCATTTCATTCTATTACTTTAAATTAAGTATGTTAGTTCTGTATTATAGAGTGAACGTTGCTATGTGTAACTATTTGGTAGGGCTACCTAGACAAGCTGCAGGAGGAGATCGGTAAGACCCTAGAGAAGGTGGGCAGCAGGGAGAAATACATCAACAACCAGCTTGAACACCTTATCCAGGACTACCGCAGCGCCCAGTCCAAACTCAGCGAGGTAAGCGTCCATATAATACAGTAAAATAATACAATGCAATACTGCACCAGTCAAAATGGTCTACGTTGGAGCATCGGATTTAGTCATACTGTAATGTCCAGTTATGGTTCACAGTATTACATTGACATTTTAGTCATTTAGAAGACGCTCTTATCCAGAGCTACTTACATGAGCAATTAGGGTTAAGTGCCTTGCTCAAGGGCACATCGACAGATTTTTGTTGTGGTATATGGCCAATATACCATGGCTAAGGGCTGTTCTTAGGCATGACACAACGCAGAGTGCCTGGATACAGCCCTTAGGTGTGGTATATTGGCCATATACCACAAACCCCCGAGGTGCCTTATTGCTATTATAAATTGTTTACCAACCTAATTAGAACAGTAAAAATAATTTGTTTTGTCATACCTAGGGCTGTTGCGGTTACCGTATTACCGCCACACCGGCGGTTACGAGTCATGAAGGCAGTCAAATTCCACATGACCGTTTAGTCACGGTAATTAGGCTTCTCCAAGCTCTGATGCTGCTGCTGGTCATTAGTAGCCTACCAAACTTGCTAACTGCCTGGTACTCAGCACTCTATTGTCCCTCTAATCACTATGACATCAATGCAAATGTGTTCGAAAATCTAATCAAACACCTCATGAGAGCCCATGAGCTCATGTTGCGCAACATTTCTATAGGCTATGCAATTGCGGGTGAAAATAGAGTGATGGCAGCTAATAAAAAGAGGAGGATCCCATCAGCTTTCTATAGGCTAGGCCTACTATATTTATTTCTCAACTTTCCTAATATTAAGCACATTGCTTATATTTACAACAGGGGTATAGCCTATCTGGCTAGCATGAAAATATACCACGGGGAAAAGCATCCTCCATTCGCTATTTAAGTGCATAGATGACATGTATTTTTTCCCGCTGCCCCTGTTTCGATACAGGTGCATGATAATGGCCATTCTAAATCAAAACAAATGTCACACATACAGTGGGGAGAAAAAGTATTTGATACACTGCCGATTTTGCAGGTTTTTCTACTTACAAAGCATGTAGAGGTCTGTAATTTTTATCATAGGTACACTTCAACTGTGAGAGACGGAATCTAAAACAAAAATCCAGAATATCACATTGTATGATTTTTAAGTAATTAATTAGCATTATATTGCATGACATACAGTGGGGGAAAAAAGTATTTAGTCAGCCACCAATTGTGCAAGTTCTCCCACTTAAAAAGATGAGAGGCCTGTAATTTTCATCATAGGTACACGTCAACTATGACAGACAAAATGAGAATTTTTTTCTCCAGAAAATCACATTGTAGGATTTTTAATGAATGTATTTGCAAATTATGGTGGAAAATAAGTATTTGGTCAATAACAAAAGTTTCTCAATACTTTGTTATATACCCTTTGTTGGCAATGACACAGGTCAAACGTTTTCTGTAAGTCTTCACAAGGTTTTCACACACTGTTGCTGGTATTTTGGCCCATTCCTCCATGCAGATCTCCTCTAGAGCAGTGATGTTTTGGGGCTGTCGCTGGGCAACACAGACTTTCAACTCCCTCCAAAGATTTTCTATGGGGTTGAGATCTGGAGACTGGCTAGGCCACTCCAGGACCTTGAAATGCTTCTTACGAAGCCACTCCTTCGTTGCCCGGGCGGTGTGTTTGGGATCATTGTCATGCTGAAAGACCCAGCCACGTTTCATCTTCAATGCCCTTGCTGATGGAAGGAGGTTTTCACTCAAAATCTCACGATACATGGCCCCATTCATTCTTTCCTTTACACGGATCAGTCGTCCTGGTCCCTTTGCAGAAAAACAGCCCCAAAGCATGATGTTTACACCCCCATGCTTCACAGTAGGTATGGTGTTCTTTGGATGCAACTCAGCATTCTTTGTCCTCCAAACACGACGAGTTGAGTTTTTACCAAAACGTTCTATTTTGGTTTCATCTGACCATATGGCATTCTCCCAATCCTCTTCTGGATCATCCAAATGCACTCTAGCAAACTTCAGACCGGCCTGGACATGTACTGGCTTAAGCAGGGGGACACGTCTGGCACTGCAGGATTTGAGTCCCTGGCGGCGTAGTGTGTTACTGACGGTAGGCTTTGTTACTTTGGTCCCAGCACTCTGCAGGTCATTCACTAGGTCCCCCCGTGTGGTTCTGGGATTTTTGCTCACCGTTCTTGTGATCATTTTGACCCCACGGGGTGAGATCTTGCGTGGAGCCCCAGATTGAGGGAGATTATCAGTGGTCGTGTATGTCTTCCATTTCCTAATAATTGCTCCCACAGTTGATTTCTTCAAACCAAGCTGCTTACCTATTGCAGATTCAGTCTTCCCAGCCTGGTGCAGGTCTACAATTTTGTTTCTGGTGAACTTTGACAGCTCTTTGGTCTTGGCCATAGTGGAGTTTGGAGTGTGACTGTTTGAGGTTGTGGACAGGTGTCTTTTATACTGATAACAAGTTCAAACAGGTGCCATTAATACAGGTAACGAGTGGAGGACAGAGGAGCCTCTTAAAGAAGAAGCTACAGGTCTGTGAGAGCCAGAAATCTTGCTTGTTTGTAGGTGACCAAATACTTATTTTCCACCATAATTTGCAAATAAATTCATTAAAAATCCTACAATGTGATTTTCTCGATTTTTTTTCTCTCAATTTGTCTGTCATAGTTGACGTGTACCTATGATGAAAATTACAGGCCTCTCTCATCTTTTTAAGTGGGAGAACTTGCACAATTGGTGGCTGACTAAATAATTTTTTCCCCCACTGTAAGTATTTGATACATCAGAAAAGCAGATCTTAATATTTGGTACAGAAACCTTTGTTTGCAATTACAGAGATCATACGTTTCCTGTAGGTCTTGACCAAGTTTGCACACACTGCAGCAGGGATTTTGGCCCACTCCTCCATACAGACCTTCTCCAGATCCTTCAGGTTTCGGGGCTGTCGCTGGGCAATACGGACTTTCAGCTCCCTCCCAAAGATTTTATATTGGGTTCAGGTCTGGAGACTGGCTAGTCCCCTCCAGGACCTTGAGATGCTTCTTACGGAGCCACTCCTTAGTTGCCCTGGCTGTGTGTTTCGGGTCGTTGTCATGCTGGAAGACCCAGCCACGACCCATCTTCAATGCTCTTACTGAGGGAAGGAGGTTGTTGGCCAAGATCTCGCGATACATGGCCCCATCCATCCTCCCCTCAATACGGTGCAGTCGTCCTGTCCCCTATGCAGAAAAGCATCCCCAAAGAATGATGTTTCCACCTTCATGCTTCACGGTTGGGATGGTGTTCTTGGGGTTGTACTCATCCTTCTTCTTCCTCCAAACACGGCGAGTGGAGTTTAGACCAAAAAGCTCTATTTTTGTCTCATCAGACCACATGACCTTCTCCCATTCCTCCTCTGGATCATCCAGATGGTCATTGGCAAACTTCAGATGGGCCTGGACATGCGCTGGCTTGAGCAGGGGGACCTTGCGTGCGCTGCAGGATTTTAATCCATGACGGCGTAGTGTGTTACTAATGGTTTTCTTTGAGACTGTGGTCCCAGCTCTCTTCAGGTCATTGACCAGGTCCTGCCGTGTAGTTCTGGGCTGATCCCTCACCTTCCTCATGATCATTTATGCCCCACGAGGTGAGATCTTGCATGGAGCCCCAGATCGAGGGTATTTGACCGTCATCTTGAACTTCTTCCATTTTCTAATAATTGTGCCAACAGTTGTTGCCTTCTCACCAAGCTGCTTGCCTATTGTCCTGTAGCCCATCCCAGCCTTGTGCAGGTCTACAATTTTATCCCTGATGTTCTTACACAGCTCTCTGGTCTTGGCCATTGTGGAGAGGTTGGAGTCTGTTTGATTGAGTGTGTGGACAGGTGTCTTTTATACAGGTAACGAGTTCAAACAGGTGCAGTTAATACAGGTAATGAGTGGAGAACAGGAGGGCTTCTTAAAGAAAAACTAACAGGTCTGTGAGAGCCGGAATTTTTACTGGTTGGTAAGTGATCAAATACTTATGTCATTCAATAAAATGCAAATTAATTACTTAAAAATCATACAATGTGATTTTCTGAATTTTTGTTTTAGATTCTGTCTCTCACAGTTGAAGTCTACCTATGATAAAAATTACAGACCTCTACATGCTTTGTAAGTAGGAAAACCTGCAAAATCGGCAGTGTATCAAATACTTGTTCTCCCCACTGTATATTATTTAGTATATGTAAAGACAAGATTAAATCAAGAATAGTCTGATGTGTGACAATATTATCACTTGTGAATTATATATTATCACTTGTGAATGTTGCCCAGCATATGAAACAATGCCTTTTTTTTGTTGTTGACTTTTTCTAATCATAATCGCACACGTCATGTAGCCTAGCCCATAGGCCTATATGTTTTAATAAGGTTTGTATCATAACTAAAGTGGCCAAATAACTTCTTAAAATTAAGCACAATAATCCACTTTACAAGGGGTGTAGAGCCTAACTGGCATATATAAGCAGCGCGTGAGTTTCAAGTTTGGGGAAGATAATTTTCACCATGAAAATGCTCCTTTTATAATAAAAGCATTACATGCATAATTGCATTTGCGGTCACTTTTGATAATGGTGTTTTCCGTTAATGGAACATTGGCGCTTATAGCCTACTACCATGTGCGCATTGCTGCGCTTATAATGTGAAGAAATAGCCTAATAGTTTATCAACATTTTAAGCTAAATGTTCTGATCTAATATTTTTTTATGCTAGTGGTTCTATTAATTTGGGATCTAACGCATCCCACAACTGTCCCAGACTATGTTTGGAATATTTATTTCTCGCACAGAATAGAATAGGTTGAACTTTTGTACTATGGGGGATAGTAGATTAACATAGGCTAGTGCTTATGCTGTTTGTTAGGCCTACTCATCTTGTTGGCTGACGAAAAGTAAATGTGGACAGTTCTTTCAATATTTTCAATATGCATCTCGGAATTGGCTAAGGACGCGCGCAATTGCGTCCCCGATGTCTGTCTTCACTTGTAGCCTGTGAGAGAGACCCGATCACATGACGGAGAGCCATGTGAGTGAGAGGCGCTTCGGATTGTGCAGCACACTCAGGGAGAAGGGCACAACGCAGCACTCCGGGCCGCAAAAGGCATGGATTATTTTAGGTGCATTACGGCCACAAAGGGGATGCCTCCATGAAATTCGAGGCATTATCAAGTGCTTGTCAAATTGTGAATGAGAGACTATTGGAGTGTGTACAGCCTGCACAAAAAACTAAGCAGAGCTTATGCCATTCAAGCGACTTTTTTCAAATCATCATTAGAGTCCCATCATGCAGCCTTACAATCTATTGAAAATGAAAACAAATAGCCCAACGTTTGTAGAACTAAAGTTACATTAATAACTCTAAATTAAGCATTTAGGAGTACCTATTTCTTTGTTAACCGCTCAACACAGAATAGCCGCATGTGCGCTCTCCCTCAAATCTTTTGGAGAAAATATTTATATTTTATTCAGCTTTGTTCAATTGAATTCTTCATATTATAAAATAATATAAAAAATGCCACGGAATTATAAGCAAATATTGTCTGCTAACTCAGAGTATGCTCTTCTTTTCTTCTGAAATAGACTACATTTTCTTCATATCATGCTTCTTTAGAGCTGTCTAAAATAAATAATGGATTTATTGTGAAGGTGTAGGCTATATTACATGGATTTATTAGACTTTTTAAAATGGCTTGTAGGCTATGTGTGGAAGCCAGGATATGCTAAATGTGTTTGTTAATTAACGGTCAATTACCTTGAGACCGACCAGTTATTTGCTTGACAATCACCGGCTGATTAAATTTTGTGACCGCCACAGCCGTATACGGTCTGATATGCCACTGCTTTCAGCCAATCAGAATTCAGGGCTCGAACCACCCGGTTTATAAAATAGAATATCCAATACCAGTATATAATATTCTGTTGCTGTGGTATGCGTTGGTCATCAATGCAGAGGCACAACTAATTGGCTTATTTTGGGGGGGGGAACAAGCATAAAGACATGTTGACCTTTTGTATTCCAAGGCAAAGGAGTGCTACCAGCAGGGAAGTGGTGGAGTTACAGAGAGGACCAGAGTTCTGGCTGAGGTCAGTGACCACATCACACACAGTAAACCACAGTATGCAGGTCATTCTCGTAACAGATTCTCATAACCCTAGCCCATCATTCTCATAACATTCACACTATTCCAAAAAAAAATCACATTACAGTCATTCTTTCCCAATTTGTTCATGTAATTATATTTTCCATTGCTCCTGATATTTTTACACCAACATCATGATATAGTCCTAAATGTCCATAGAAGTTATATTACCTATCTCTTATCCTCTGTAGATACCTCTGTCTTAGTGCCATAGATGACAGATGAGTTTTGATGTCAACTCTCTCAGTGCTGTCTCGTTCTAACCTAGATCACAGAGGAGCTGGAGAAGGTGAAGCAGGAGATGGAGGAGAAAGGCAGCAGTATGTCTGATGGAGGTGAGTCTGTAAATGAAAACATACTGGACTAGGGAATCTACACAGCAATATACCTTTTAAGCCTTTTCCACTGCGAGCTGGACGAAATGGTGAATATGACGCAATTCCCACATTACAAAGTCATTGGTGACGTCACATCCTGTTGTGTTACATACATCATTAGGTTGGGCACCTTGCTGTGGCCTGGCTAGTCTAACGGTAATGCCACAGCCTCCGGCACACATGTCTATGGTGTCGGTATACGTTAGAATCTGGCCTACTGCCCTTTGACACCACCTCTCGTTATCTTTCTCCACTGTCATCCTCTATCGGTTCAATATAATCTGAAAGTACCTTAAATTTATATTTTTTAAGTTGGGCACTTTGCAAACTCATGCATTTTTTGGGGTCTTGATGGTGAGAAAGCAACAGTTCTTGATTTAAAATACATTATATAGTGACAGTTATCGGCCATCATTGAATCTATTGAAGAAAGGTTATAAATAAAGTTGTTAGATCAATGAAAACGTGATTTATTTTGGAATCTATTCATGTATAATGATTATGACAAATTGATTTGAAAATGTTAGATATCATTTGTTTTCTTACCCTTTGAGCTTTTTGAATTACAGCCCCCGTGGTGAAAATCAAGCAGAGTCTGACCAAGCTCAAGCAGGAGATTGTTCAGATGGACATTCGGATAGGAGTGGTGGAGCACACACTACTGCAGGCCAAGCTAAAGGAGAAGTCCAACATGACTCGAGACATGCACGCCACCAATATCCCAGAGCCTGCCATCGGCGCATACTGAGATATACACAGTATGGTGTTATCTATCATTAGCTTACTGAACTTTATGTACTGTTACATTATGCCTGTACAATCCTATTATATACATGGTAAGCAGTGGATTACATCCTGACTACAGCCAGTTTACCAAAGTCCTTAAATTATTCTAAACAGTCTGTTTAAGCAGACACAGAGAGACATCTGTATGGTTCTGACTTCAACTGTCATATGGAGTTTCATATCATATTTGATCGCATTCTAAGGCTTTGTTGATGTGGTTGAATGAAAGTTTCTCAATATTTACATAAATTGGAATTATAAAACACAGATTTGAATGCCCATACGTTATGCATGCAGGGTTAAGTTTGCTAATTGCTATATTTGTAATGGAGATAATTAAACTGAGAATTTTTTGTACAAATAAAGAAGTTGTAAAATACTACTGATGATTACGTGTATTTGATGGGGACTTTTATTTTGACTTTTTGATCTGGTAAGGCTCATGAAATGTCTGGAAAGGTGAAATTAATAATGCATCCAGCTATTTGTACCGTATGGAATAGTGGAAATACTTACAAAGTCGGCTGAGATTGATTGCCAGCAATGTTTGCCATGTCAAGGTACATTATGAAACATTAATATAAAAATCTAAAAGTAACTTTGGAACTCATCATTTTAAAGCAGGTTTATTCAGAGGGGTTGGGTTAAATGCGGAAGACACATTTCAGTTGAATGCATTCCGTTGTACAACTGACTAGGTATCCCCCTTTCCCTTTCCTTTCCTTACTCTTTAAGATTTTTTTAGCCTCCTCACAGCAATGCTAATGACCACTAGATGTCGCTGTTGTTCTGGATAAATATAGCAATCTAACATTGAATTGCCAGTTTTGACAGCGTTAGGCTTTGGTTTTTCCATTTATGTTTTGAGATTGGACTTTAGCACGTTTAGCTTGTTAGCACGTAGGGTGCACCGATTGGTGTCACCTCGTTAGTTAGTATGTGTTACACCTGTGCTGGTTGCCATGTCGTTAGTGGGAAGGTGTTTCTGTGCTGGCCCAGGTGCTATTTAAGAGTGGCTGGCCCAATGTTCCAGTTGTCTTGATAGATTTCTTAACAAAACAAAATCCTTTATCTGATTTTGTTTTGATCCACCTTTTTGGTTTGCTTCCGAATCCAGTCAGGCCATCCTGCACCCTCAACCCTCAAAACAGCCGACTTGTACCACCTTTCAATGAAAAAGAGGTGGGTGTATATTTTACTCTGTTTGAGCGGATTGCAACATCCCTAAATGGCTACGAGATATTTGGTCACTGGTCCTCCATAGTGTTCTGGTGGGAAAAGCTCAGAAAGCGTACGCTGCTTTCTCTTGAACAGAGCTCAGATTATGACACTGTTAAAGCTGCTATCCTTGGTCCTTACGAGTTGGTCCCAGAGGCATACAGACAACAGTTCTGTGAATTATAAAAGACAGAATCAAAAGCCATGTTGATTTCGCAAGGGAACAAGCATGTCTTTTTGATCGGTGGTGTGGTTCTCAAGAGGTCAAAGACCTTGAGGATTTAAAGACTTGCTTTCACGAAATAATTGCAACCTACATTTATGAACACTAGGATCTCACTCTTGAAAGCTGCAGTTCTTGCAGATGAGTTTGTGTTGACACGTAAAACTACCTTCACAAACAAAGCACCCAATAGTTAGCCATACGCAAAAAGCAATCCAGAAAAGTCACCTCCTATTGCGAGGTTTCAGTACATTTCTACAGTGCCCGAAGATAAAGATTGGGAGAAAAACTGGCGGATACGAAAAACCAGTTGTCATTACTGCTGTGAGAAAGGACACGTCTCTCAGTGTCCTAAGTTGAAACAGAAAAATGAGAGCGAAAAAGCCTTTTCTTCTTGTGGGAGCACTCCAGCCCATCAAGTCTCTGGTAGGGACTGGTGTATCTCAGAAACAAGATTTTTGGATCAGATGTGTATGAACCCTTTGTGTATGTTCCCAGCATGTGCCATTACACGTGCTATGTCTAAGAAAGTTTCCGGGAGCAAGTCTATCGTTGAGGATGTCAGTGAACCCACCATGGTCGATCTGTCCGAGGCATTTATGGGTGATCCTGAGTTGACCTCTCCTTTGAAAACCCCACAGGTGAGCGAGTTTGTAGGACCGCTGAAGGAAGAGAGGGTCCCTACAGTTGACATTTCAATGTCTAGGAAGCAGCTGATTGCGGAACAAAGTAAATATGTTTCCCTCTCCACTCTTTTTGCTGAGATGCGTCCAGAGGAGGAGTTTGATGAAGTTTGTGTGGGTTACTTTGACGGAGATGGTGTTCTAATGAGGAAATGGCATTCTCGCGCCACTTCTGGGCAAGACGATTGGCCCAGTGTGTCTCAAAATTTCGTTCCAGTTACACTTCGACAAGAGATACTGAGGTTGGCTCACAATGGTAGTATGGCAGGCCATCTTGGGGTCAACAAGACGTATGACCGTATCTTAATTAAGTTATTCTGGCCTGGTCTGAAACAGGATGTTGTGGCTTACTCTAAGTCCTGTCGCGTTTGCAAGTGGACGGGTAAACCGAACCAAGCTGTACCGGTTGCACCTTTGCAGCCTATTCCTGGTTTTGACTAACATTTCAGCAGGGTTCTGGTGGACTGTCTTGGTCCTTTGCCCAAAGCCAAGAGTGGTAACCAGTTTCTCTTAACCATAATGTGTGATGCCACTCGTTTCCCTGAGGCCATTCCACTGAGGAAAATCACAGCTCCCTGTATTGTCAAGGTCCTGGTGAAATTATTTTCTACGTAATGTAGTGCAGTCGGACCAAGGATCGAATTTCATGTTAAAGGTCTTCCAGCAAGTGCTAGAACAGTTTGGTGTAACCCATTGCTCCTCTAGTGACTACCACCCAGTCTCAAGGTGCTCTTGAGAGATTTCAATATACTTTGAAGTCTATGTTGAGAGTTTCCTGCTTTGAGTTTGAGAAAGACTGGGATGAAGTGGTCCCTCTTGTCCTGTTTGCAGCGTGGGAGGTTGTTCAGGAATCTCTCGGTTTTAGTCAGAATGAACTCGTTTGGACATCATGTCAGAGGTCCTTTTGAGCTTGCTGAAGTTGTTGCAGGGCGACACCTTAAAAATAAATATGTTGGAGCACGTTAGCGCTTTTTGATGCAGATTAACACCATGCATGTGAGTTTGCCAGTGAGAATCTGGAGAAGGTGCAAATGAAAATGAACGTTTGGTACGATCGAAAGGCCAGAGACCGCACTTTCGATGTGGGTGACCAAGTCTTGGTTTTGTTGCCCGTTCTGGGGACATAGTTGCAAGGCTCGCTTTTCAGGCCGTTACCCCATAGTAAAAAAAAGCGCAGGAGAAAAACATGGCTGTGTCATGTCAACATGTTGAAACCATACTTCACCCGCTACAATCGGGCGGTGAAGTCGGTGGAAACCAGTAGTGATATTCTGCCTGTGGCCACTGCTGTCACTGTTGATTATAGTCTTCCTCAAGAGTACGAGGAAAGCCCGATACTCAACCGTCCAACCGGCACAGGGTGTAACTCAAATTCTAAAAAACCTTTATCTTTTTGACACACTTGGCTTCGGAGGAAAAAAGCGACATTGTTGCACTGCTTTCAGAATATCACGGTTTATCTCAGATGTGGCAACTCAGACAAATGTACTAGAGCAGTGGTTCCCAAACGTTTTATAGTCCCGTACCCCTTCAAACATTCAACCTCCAGCTGTGTACCCCCTCTAGCACCAGGGTCAGCGCACTCTCAAATGTTGTTTTTTGCCTGCCACACACACACTATATGATACATTTATTAAACATAAGAATGAGTGTGAGTTTTTGTCACAACCCGGCTCATGGGAAGTGACGAAGAACTCTTATAGGACCAGGGCACAAATAATAATCATAATCTATAATTTGGCTCTTTATTTAGCCATCTTACATATAAAGCCTTATCTGTTCATCAAAAATTGTGAATAACTCACCACAGGTTAATGAGAAGGGTGTGCTTGAAACGATGCACATAACTCTGCAATGTTGGGTTGAATTGGAGAGAGTCTCAGTCTTAAGTCATTTTCCACACACAGTCTGTGCCTGTATTTAGTTTTCATGCTAGTGAGGGCCGAGAATCCACTCTCACATAGGGATGTGGTTACAAAGGGCATCAGTGTCTTAACAGCGCGATTTGCCAAGCAGGATACTCTGAGCACAGCCCTATCCAGAAATCTGGCAGTGGCTTCTGATTAAATTCAATTTTCACAGAACCGCTTGTTGCAATTTCGACGAGGCTCTTGTTCAGATATCGGTAAGTGGACTGGAGGCAGGGCAAGAAAGGGATAACGAATCCAGTTGTTTGTGTCGTCCGTTTGGGGAAAGTACCTGTGTAATTGCGCACCCAGCTCACTCAGGTGCTTCGCTATATCACATTTGACATTGTCCGTAAGCTTGAGTTTTGCACACAAAAAAATCATACAATGATGGAAAGACCTGTGTGTTGTCCTTGTTAATGCAGACAGAGAAAGCCTCAATTTTGTCCCGCACATTGAATATAGTTGCGGAGAGTCCCTGTAATCCTAGATTCAGATCATTCAGACGAGAAAAAACATCACCCTGATAGGCCAGTCGTGTGAGAAACTCGTCATCATGCAAGCGGTCAGACAAGTGAAAATGATGGTCAGTAAAGAAAACTTTAAGCTCGTCTCTCAATTCAAAAAGACGTGTCAATACTTTGCCCCTTGATAACCAGCGCACTTCTGTATGTTGTAAAAGCGTTACATGGTCACTGCCCATATCATTGCATTATGCAGAAAATACACGAGAGTTCAGGGGCCTTGTTTTAACAAAGTTAACCATTTTCACTGTAGTGTCCAAAACGTCTTTCAAGCTGTCAGGCATTCCCTTGGCAGCAAGAGCCTCTCGGTGGATGCTGCAGTGTACCCAAGTGGCGTCGGGAGCAACTGCTTGCACGCGCATTACCACTCCACTATGTCTCCCTGTCATGGTTTTGCGCCATCAGTA